TGTTAACTTAACAAATTAATAAACTAACTTATCCTTTTTACATTGTATGGAATAGATATACCTTGAAATTAATATTCCTAAGATCTAATTTCGACAGATCAGCTCTTACAAAATCAACTCCTTGAAATCTAAGTTCTGCATTAGTTGATGTTGACATGATTGCTTTAAGTACATCTTTACGAGTTAGAGATATAAGACCTTCCTTCTGCAATTCTTCCTTTTCTACCATTGTAGTTAGAATTTGAATAGCACCTTCAATGCCATAAAAACAAGCTTCTGCCAAAACTCCTGCAAAATATTTCAAAATATTTATTTTAATATGATACAGTCATATTAATATAAATATAATTTACTATGTACCCGTAATATTAACATGGGAATCAAGTATGATTTGACCATGCCTCAGATAATTTAATAATGGTTCAAAATAAGTAGGACTTCTGTCAATCAGATATGCTCCACGGTGATCTTGTCTACTTGGCTGTATAACATGCTCAGCATTTCCAGTTTCTATAAACATTCTAGTAAGTAAAATACTACATTAATCTTATATCAATATTTCATGTATATAGAAAACTATATTTATAAAACTATATATATAAAACTGATTAAACAGAACAGATAATATACCTTGCTAACATACTCATAGGTTCTTTTTTCGTTAAAGTATCCCTAGTTGTAGTAAAATATTTTCCTCCAACATTCAATGTTATCCATTCGGAATTCTTATTTAGCAAATTGTGATTACAAATTTTATTTGTATGTATAAAATTTTCTCCATTTGAAACATACAAAATATCATCATCTCTATGAAGAAAAATTTCAATATTTTTATAATACCAAAAGATCTGATCAATTTCATATTTTATGTATAAGCATATTTATAATAAAAGGAAAATTAAATTAAATAGACTTTTTACCTAATGAGTTTAATATCATCAATTTCACCACCTTGTGATGTAAAAATTCTTTTTGCCGTTATTTCAAATTTTATACTAGCTGCTGCCAATAATTCATTCAATGAATGAGTCACTACAAATACCTAGGGTAAATAAATATATCAAATTTACATTGTCAAAATATTTTTATCTATCCAAAAATATATTATTTTTGCATAAAATAAGAACAATTATCAAGAGATATATATTATTTTTTAATTCAATACACCAAAAGATATCACAAGATTAAATAAAAAACAAACATATATTGTTTTAAAAAAAATAATTTTTTTATTCAACAATTATTTTAACAATAAAAGTGTTAGTAACAAAGTCATTTCTTTTCAATTTTTTCTTGTTGTCTATACTTTTTATATTTTAATCTTATATTTTAACAAATGGTTTTTACTAATTAGCCAGAAACACATTGTTTCTTTTGTTTCATTTGTTACTTAATCAAATCTTTCAATATTTCAATTGTATATTTTGTATTCAATTATATATTTTTTATATCATAATTATTTCTTAATTTTGTAGCACCACTCTTTTTAAAGAAAAATTTTTTCTAC